ACATATATATATATACATATATATATACACATATATATACATATATATATATACACATATATATATACATATATACACACATATATATATATATAAATGTGTATAAAAGACTAATGAGCTTCCTGCTGCTGTCGGTAAAGTACCTCCTCTGCTGAAGTCGCTCTTCCTCTGGCACCCTGAAGGAGAAGCGTCTCTTATTGTTCATGCTGCGCACCATCTGTTTCCTGCTGTTGTCAGACGTCTCTGGGACAACCAGCTCGTCACCCTCTGGAAGAAGACAACAAAGTCTCACACGTGTTTACATAAGTGGCGACAAAGCACTCGTGAGCTACACCGGTGTTTGGAGTATCGTGTCAAACTATAAGCTCGGCTATAAAACACAGCCAAACACTGTGAACATCATTTCAGAGTTCATACCAGCCATCTTGTTTCTGAAGTAGATGAGGCGAACTGTCTCCTGCCCCAGCAGGTTCAGAGAGCCGTCGACATTCAGAGGCCGAACCTGAGAAATGTGTCATCAGTAAGATTAAAAAAAAAAAAAAATCTTCTATTCAAAGGTAAGTTGATCTAATGTGGAGACAACATAGAATAAACTCAAAAACAAATGAGACATAATAATTATACAACCACAAGACGGGTGCAACACAATTTCGAGCCACCAGGTGGAGCCAAAGACGCCTGACCTTTTTAAGAGGGATGGTCTGAATCCACTCCATGTTGTTGACGTCAAACACGTCGACGGCGTTCTCGCTGTACACTGACAGGTAGGGGGCGTTGTAGCCTGGACATAAAGAAACAACCATGTATTACTGTGTTGTTGCAATATTCATCGCGTTGTAGCCTGGACATAAAGAAACAATCAATATATATGTTGCAGTCTTTAATTAATTGATTTTAACCATTATAACACCACTCAAACAAACAAATAAACAAACAAATAATGTACTCACAGGCGGCGTTGGGCAAGGCCGGCCACATGAGCTCCTGCTGCCGCGACCTGCGACCCTGAGAATCCACATACACGCCGATGGAGCTGAAGCACAGCAGCAACTCTTTACTGGAAATTTCCACGGCGCACAGCGCGTCCAGGTTCTGCTGCGGGATGAACGCCAGGGTGTGGTCCTCAGGATGGAGCAGGCTGACGGGTGACATGTCTCCGTGGATACTGTAGCGGGTGAAGCCCGACTGATAGCCCACATAAAGGCGCTCGCTGAGCAGACCCATCCACTGGACGTTGGCTGGGGCCTGCAGCTCTCTCATCCGACGGTTGCGGGCCTTACTTTTATTCACCTGTAAATACATTTAAACCCAAATGTTAAGACAAAACGCGAGACAACCACCACTAAGAGAGGCGGTCCCTGTGTTTGTGAGTCTCCTGACCTCATAACATATGATCTGTCTCTTCATGGCCACACACAGGCAGGTGAAAGAGCCGTTGCGGACGGAGCCGGACACAATCGTCTGGCAGCCTTTCGTGTCGCCCAGCTTGTACGAGTCCAGCTCTCTGCCATCCAGGGCCTGTGTCGGAATGAGACGGACGTGGCGGTTTCGGCCAGAGATGACGGCCAGCAGCTGTTCCTGCGGGATCAGGTCGATCTGGTGCACCTTCTTGTTGTCTCCGACGCGGATTATTTCTGAGGAAGTGTGCGTGAAAAGACGCATGTTGACCACCGGTAGTAACGTTAAGAAAAAAAACGAACACCGGTAGTAACGTTAAAAAAAAATAAAAAAAACAAACGTGATTTTAAGTGATTCTTACCATCTTTGGTGACGTGAATGACAAAAAGACCTTCCTCGTTCCCCAGGGCGACACGCTCATGATCTGAAGGCAGATGAGAAACAAAAAAGCTAATTTTGTGGCTTTCTTCCATATGTCTAGGTCATCTATGATTTTTTCTTCTTTACACACCTATGATTGCAGCAGACTGCGTTGTCTTGATGAGCGGCAGCGTGCTGTCGTAAGCCTCCTTGGGGATGTAGACAAATCGCTCCTTGAGCTTGTTCTTCTTGAGGATGCGGTGGAGCTCATTGAGGAGGCCCACCCATTTGTTCCTCTCCTGGTCGCTATCAGCCAGGATTAAAATGGAAGGCTTGTGGCTGCTGGAGGGGGAGAGCTGTGACGCTGTCACCTGAAGACGATCAAGAAGAGTCATGTTAGAGTTCCAAGTCATGTTAGATTTCCATGTTTTTTTTGGTTTTTTTTTTTTGCTCCATTGCACTGAATCTCATTTACAAATTTTTTTTTTTGCTCCATTGCACTGGATCTCATTTACAAATTTTTTATGCTTTATTTGAACTTACTCTAAATATGCAAGGGATGTCTTTGCGGCTAGCGTGGATAACATCTGAGGCCAGGACTGAACTGACTGAGAATTCTTCATCCCTGGAAAACAAGACAAGTAGTTTTGAAGTGATGCTACAGTTTGTATTGGTTTATTATTGAGTCGAGCCTTTTGGAACAAACAGACAAGGACAAATTGATGTGTAGTAAAAGTAAAAGCAGTAGCGTTTTCACCTCATGTCTATGACTTGGCTGACCACCACACTCGGTTGCGTTGCTTTTCCTTCTCCCAGTTCGTAGAGAAACAGTTTGAAGTCGCACACCACGGCCATTGCTCTCTGCCAGCCCTTCTTCACCCCGGTGGGTTTGGGCACCTGAAACAGAAACACAGCTAAAAGTCAGAAATAAACCAAAAACAGGTTGGTTTCTTTTTTTCATGCCAATTCATTATTTTCACCCACCCTGACGTGCCCTTCATACGCAGTACCGATGCCTCTCTGAGGGTCAATACCCAGTGGCCCCTTGGTCTGGTCCTGGGGCACGGGACACACAGCAGGAGCCTTGTCTGCACACGTTACGTGGCAGGAGAAGTTACACACTGTACAAACAGACGGAGAGAAACACGTCAGGTTGGACTGAGGACTCCTTTGTGTTCACATTAATTCAAAACAAAACATTTCCTAATGAGGCCTAATGCTTTCCAGCCTGATTTAGACAATGAGAAAAAAAAAAAATATCCTGTTTTATGTATTCACTGAACCTTACCTTCACAGGTGCAGCCCTGACGTATGAGTCCCACCATGAGGGAAGTGCACTGGTTACACTTGGTGGGGGTGTTGAAGGACTTCACCACGAATTGATGTGCTTTGGGCTACGGAGCGAAAACAATGCGATTTATTTAACATGACACACAGTGGGAAAAAAATGATCAATGCTGAAGTGTGAAACCAAACAATTGCGTCCAACCTTTGGTGAGGAGCGGCCAATACTGCCGTGACCTCCTGAGCGCATGGTGGGAGTCTGGATTGTACGAGGAGGATGGTCTATCAACTGGAGGAGAGGGCGGAGAAAAATATCGTTAGAAGAATAATTTTTTTGAACATGGACATCCTAGATCATTGTTTCCCCAAAGACTGGGTCGCAACCCTTAGGTGGGCCACAAGATTTTTTTTCTGGGTCGTCTCGCATCATGTTTCCCAGGAGTTTATGAATAATGACTATTGACTTGGGTCACGAAGGTTTGTGATTTTTAAAATATGCCTCCCCAGAAAAAAAAAACTAAATGCTAACAAAATGCTAAATGCTAACAAAATGTTAAATCTAACTGATTCAACAACAGAATCCAAAGTTTTCTGACCTCTATGGGCTCCATGTCACTGGCCATGGAGGGTGAACGTGAACGGGATTTAAGGAGAGACTTGGGGTCGTCTTCTCGTGAAGGAGTGTTGGAGGGGGTAAAGTTATCCATAGAGTCCACCTGAGAGGCAAGAGAATGATGAGAAATGGGGATAAATCCAAAAGTTTGGGTCACGAAAGTCTGAAATGGAGAGAGAGAGACACACACAGAGAGAGAGACAGAGACAGATATATAAAACCAGAGAGTAAGATGGAAACCAAGAGGTGAACAAGAAGTCAAGAAGCAACAGCCGTGGCAAAAGAGAAAGAGTAAGCTTTAAATTAAAACGAATAAAAAGGCTCAGATATATATTGTAAAAAAAAAAAAAAAAAGAACCATACACCAAGTCGTACACCATGCAAATCAGCACAACAGACAGACACCAGCACACGGTGAGCAGCAGCAGCCATACAAAAGCCAAACAAAATGAGCTTGAAAAAATAAATAAATAAAACCCAACGATTGCAGCAGCAGCAACAATAAATACACACAACAATAAGCACACTGAAAATATTAAAAAAAAAAAAAAAAAAGGAAACACTCAGGGATGCTCTCAATGACAGCATTCACATCTGCGCAGTGATGGTGCTTACACGTCTGCCTTTGCTAGCTGGGCCAACGGATGGCGAGCGCTTCAGTGGCAGGAGAAGAGGCAGAAAGTGGCAGAGACAGAGAGAGACGAGTGAATTATCAGAAAGTCTGAGTAACAGCGCTGAAACACATGTAATCAGACTCAGAGAGAAAACATGAAAACATGAAAACATTGCGGGGGAAAATAAGAGTGTGTGCTACTTTGATGTGCAAACCCAATATTCAGTTGGTATATTTTACAAATGTGATTCCTGAGACATGTAGAGGAAAATTTAAATTTACCTTGTACTCTACTCTTCTGAACTGTTAAGGAACTAATAATATTCATAGTTTCAGTTCAAGGATGTGGGATATTTCGAATGCCGCATCCTTTTTTTAACCAAAAAAAAAGGAATCAAGGTGGCACCTGATGACACAAAATTGTTTCATTTTCTTTTGGTCAAATGTTGTCTTTAACTGACTTTAAATGTGTAACTAAATTTATCTTTTATTTATTATACAACAATATTGAATATATTCAACATATTTATTTATGTGTTTGTGTTTGTTCACCAACATACCCACCTTTTCATCCTTGGCTTTTCGTTCACGTGTTTACAGTATTTACAGCACATACGGACAATTTAAGGTATTTTCATACTACCATTTTTTTTTAAAACTGTCACTTTATGAAACACCCAAAATGAAATTGCTGTTGGTTGGGACTACACCAGGGTTAACTAAGGGCAGATGCTAAAGAGACAGAATGGATTCAGATTGTTACGGGTAGAATGGTTATGAAGTACAGGGAGTATTTCAGTACTCTTTGTGACAGGGGAACCAGAAGTATAAACACAGGGATGCTAACAATGCTAACAATGTGTTCTGGGGTTCATTCGGGAGATAAGGTCAAGCAGTGCAGGATCTGTACACAGCAAAAAAAGCAAAATAAAAGTGAGGGGAGTGTGTATTTAATGGAAACAAACGTCTTTTTTTTTTGCAGTGGTTTCACTCTCGTAGTTCTACTGACGCACAGACAACATACTACAAAATACACTTTCTTTCACATCTACACACTCTACATACAAACTGTGCGTTCCTATTGAACATACGCTATAGTGTGTGCCTACGACATACAGGACCTAGCACCTTTCACAGCTATCTACAGGTGCATATATAAATATATATATATATAAATATATATATATACAAATATATATACACACACACACTGAGTTCCACCTATTCAACGTGAACTTACGTCTTCCCAAAACTCAATTAAAGAGGATGAGGATGAGGAATAAGAGTCCTGATGAAGCAGAGGGTGAAGCAAAGAAAGAGCCAAAAAATATATAAAGATCTTGAGAAAATTATGAGAACAAAAAGCAATCGAGGCATAGGAGAAAATTATGGATACAACTCAAGGTTTCATGGGGTTGTGAGTTGAATGTTATTTATGATTTTTTACATTTAATTTAATTTTAATTTAAATAACGCCCTCGTTCGGGCTTTTCTTTCTCAAATACTTACATCGAAATTGTCGAGCGCTGACGTCGGGGCATTGAGAAAAGCCAGGAAGGAATTCTGGGAATCCTGGTGCTTGAAACCTTAAGACAAAGAACAATATAGCGATCACGGTCAAGAATGTGATGTTAAAATATTAAAGGTTTTTTTTTTTTTTTTTTAAATCAGTCACATGACTCTCTCTAAGACAGAGCACATGATTTATCAGTCACTCAATAATAATCCCTGTGTTTTATTAAATATATAGATTAATATTAAATTTGAGCTTTAATAATTAAAACCAAAAAGATGAAAATCAGTCCAAATATTTACCCCTTCGTAGTCGGAGCTCCTCCGTCTCCTTTTTCAGACGATCAATCTCAGCCAAAAGCTCCTGGTTTTTAGTCTCGACCTCCTGCAATTTGCTGGCGAATCGGAGACGATAATTGCATCAGAGAACTGACCCAAAAATAAGCGTAATGAATTATTGTGACGTGTCCGTACCACTCGGTTGAGATGCTGTTGGCCTTGACCTTATTCAGCTCGTCCTGGATGCCCTGCTTAGCTCTGATCTCCGCATCCAAGGCTGACTGCAGCTCCAAACGGGCCGACATGTCCAACTTGGCGAAGCGCCGCATCTTCCACGGCATGTCCTAGAAAAAGAAAAAGCACTCGTTTAAAGTGAAGGGAAAAAAAAAACTTTAGTTTTCTTTAAGAACAATACTGTCTTTTTTTGTTGTTGTTTTTTTTCTCTGACTCAGCAGCTTCTGCTGCATTGATAAAGTTGCCTTTTTTTTTTTTTTTTTACCGTGGCTCTGGTGCCCAAGCTGGTGTTTCTCAGTCCCTCCAGCTCCTCTGTCATCTTAGTGGCCAGCGCCTGCAGATATCCACGAGCGTCCTTCTCATCACTCACCCTGAGTAGGACAAAAAAAAAAACCCTACATGAGCAGAACTCACACAAGTCTGGGTTTACTGACAGATAATAATAAAAAAAAAGCATAACGATTAGCGGTGGGTATTACGATCAGCTAATTTAAGTGTCATGTTGCGTAATAAGCACTCCTCCTGAGGTAGACAACACTAACTTGCAGGGAAATAAGTATATATTTGTTAAATCTAAGCAAATATCGCATGTTAGCGCCTTAAGGGAATTGACCAAAGAACTACACCTTTTACCTACACAGTATTGTTTGCTTACAGACATAGACGCTCACAAAAACATACAGTTACGAACACCATTTCATTAGTCCTGGGTGGTTTTATCTACTAACTTTAACATATTCTGCCTATCAAATGCTCAGAAAAATCATTACGGGGGTCAAAAGGTTCACATAGTACTGCTGGTTATTTTTAAATCAATGATGGAATTCGCATACCATCCATTCACATTCCTATTTTCTAGTTCATGCCGTCTATTGTAGTAGAATCATATTTCCACGAGGGGGCACTATTTGTCATTACATCCTTTTTTTTTTTTAGGCATATTCTAGTCTGGGTTTGCATGTATGCATGTTGTGTGTTTGTATGTGTGTGTTTATGTGTGTGTGTGTGTGTGTGGTATGCATGGTATGTGGGGAGTGCAGGCTCGTCCAACAGAGGGAGGCCGAGCAGCTGGTGAGGTGTCAGCTGCTGAGGGAGGTGATCTGAGAGGAAGGGAGGGTCGACAAACTCTTAGATCTCCAGAGGCATGTGAGAAACGCTGCAGTTACATTCTGTGGAGGGAACCCAATACGCCGCTGTACAACGCAGGGGTATGTGAGAGCGAGTGTGTGCGCGTTCACTTTTAGCTGAGCTGTCCTTCCGGCCGCGGTGTAGTATTAATAAAGACGGAACGGGTTACGCCTTAGAACGCATTTATGATACATGGGAAAGCGGGGTGTGTTTGGTGTATCAGCGTCTCACCATTGGATGATTTCAGTGATTTGGGCTTCCCAGTGAGCGACACTCTCCTTCTTGTCAGCCAGCTCTCTCATCTCGTCCTCCAAATGCCGGTTGGAGCTGCTCACTTTTTCAAACATGTTCGTCAACTGGGGGGAAAAAAAACAGCAATAAAGAAAATAATTTAAACATAAATAAAGAGAAAACGTCATTTGAATTCATACATGCATAGAAAATGAGTTCTATACACTGAAAAAAAAAAAACAAGTTAAATGGTCTGGTAGAACGCCCCCTGGTGGCTGAAGAAAAATCCATAGAAAAGCTGCATATTTGTATAAGCCCGTTCAAAGCGTGGGGGAAAAAAAGGTAGCGGCTTATAGTCCGGAAAATACGGTAAAAATAAATACAAATTTCCAGGCTAAATCCATTAATGGACCATTTTCAGCAAAAATGAGGACAAAGACTGTCCTCCGGAAAATCGTTTTTTTTTAATGATAAAACAACACATAAAATAAATTCGTCCCTTCCAGTGGAAACCACATGCAGAAAATCGTTTTTTTTTAATGATAAAAACACCACTTCAACACATTAAATAAATCCGTCCCTTCCAGTGGAAACCACATGGATATTCTTTACATTTCATCACGTTTTCTTCAGACATGGATCTTTAAAAACAACTTTCCCATTTTATTCCATACGTCAGAACATCTTTCACCTCCGAGACACTGTTTAAGTTGGAAGCTCAGCTACTACATTTCCAAAGGTCCGTAAAGTAACCCAGGGAGTTGTTCCATCCGACCGAGTACGAGGATACGGGGTGTTTTAACAAGGGACACCAAACAGTGATGTCTTTGGCTTCGCACAAAGTGGAGCAGAGACAGGAATGCGATTAAAGAGTTTGGACCGACTGTAAAAAGTCTCCGGTTACGGAATTCTGATTTCTGCATGAGCATGTAGAAGTTGACGTTGACGTTGAACTAAGACTCAGTCAGCGGGATTATTGAACAGTGAAGTAATAGAATAAAAAAGCTGACTGGGGGAAGTTTGTTTTTCGGGATGTGTATGCGGCACACGAACGGATAACGTACCTTGTCCAGTTCAGTGGACAGCTTCTTATTTTCCTCAGTGAGCAGGATCTTCTCTCTCTCGTACTTCTGCTTGTACTCCGTCTCGAACTCTTCCCGTTCGCTTTGGCTGCGGGAAAACACACATTTGCATACATTTTGTAACAGCGACCCCCTTTTTTTTTTTTTAAATACAGAAACGCCAACCTAATCTTTCTGCGGTCAGATTCGTTCAAAGACTTCGTGGTTTCGGGGCTGTTTTCTTGCCTTGACGAGAGGAGCCGCTCGAGATTAATGTTTCAGCACAAGGGGTTCAGAGCAAAGTCCTTCCAAACGTATCACATATACAATCACTACTCACCAATGTTCCAGTCAGCCTCCCTTATAAAAACCCTGACTGTCCTTCTACCTTCTGTGTGGGGATCAGGCTCCATTTTCCACATTTTCTTAGGAATCTAAATCTAAGGCTTAGTGCCGATAGCGGTCTCTCGTTATTGAACTCAAACGCATTAATGCCGTTACGATTTGATACGGCTGTCTGTTTGAAATTATCTAGAGAGTAGTGAGAATGAAACGTTGAAAACATAAACAAGGAGGTTGGGATGGTGGCTAAGAAAACAGCAGGATGGCTACTGGCTAACTGACATAACAATCGTACTGTTAGGACTTGTTTGTTTTTTGACGATACATACTCAAAAAGATGAGCTCGGTGGGGAAAAACTAAAGTAAGGATGTCTGTTTGGTAGCATTATTGTGTAAGGAATTCTGCGGCGAAGCTACAATAACTGGTAAGATTTAACAGCCACTCAAAGTTACTACGTCAGACAACAGGAAAACATTGTAATTACCTCACGAATTCTTCACTGAAAACGACAAAGAAAAAAAAAACTATTCAGACATGCACTGAAAACGACAAAGAAAAAAAAAAACTATTCAGACATATATTGTCCAGTTTCAATACATATATATATACACACATATACATACATATATGTATATATATGTGTATGTATGTATACACATATATGTATATATATGTGTGTGTATATATATGTATATGAATGTATATGTGTATATACATATATGTATATACATACATACACATATATACATATATGTATATACACATATACATACATATACATATATATACATATATGTGTATACATACATACACATATATATACACACACATTTATATATATGATACGACATCAACCAAAAAGAGTAAAAACACATGAAATGAAAAGACGGGTGAAATACCTCTCGCGTCGGGTCTTGTCCAGCTTGTCCTTCAGCATCAGGACTTCTTTCTGCAGAGTGAGATGTTGGCTCTCGGCGTCCCTCAGCTCCTTGCGCAGGGCCTTCATGTCAGTGCTGTGCTGCGCCTCCCGACGAGCCAGTTCCTCCTCGAACAGAACCGTTTTCTTCTCCAGGTCCCCGCGCAGACGTCCAACTTCCTGGGCTTGGTCGGCCGAGGCAGGACCGGTAGACGGGCCCGTCTGCTTCACCTGTGTGGTGGGGAAACAAGATGGCGACAGACTCTTGATTCCTTCTCCAAACCTTGGCGACATTCTGTGGCTAAGATGTTTTCATTACGCGTCCTCCTTTTCCAGGTTGACCTACAAAAGTCTCTCTCACTCACAGATTTTCTCCTTCTGCTGTAGGAGCACCGACAAGTCTACAAAGAAGTGATTTTGCTTTCGCGATAATCCTTAAACGTGTCAGCTTAAACGTTAAAGCCATAACAATAACAGTGATTTATTTCAATCTGTTCAAATAATGCGCCATAACTCATTACACGGCGGTAGCCGCGAAGACAGTTATTTGACAGAAACTCCAAAGGATAACAAGCGCATGTACAGCTGTGCGTGTTAAAAATATTTACCTTAAGTCCTTCCAACTCCTCTTCCAGCTGTCGGCTGTACTGCTCATTGCGTTCTCTAAGTTTTCTCTCTTTCTGGGCCTCCGCTGCCTGCTCCTCCGCCTGAGCCTCCATCTGACGGGGAGCATACACACAAAACTAGGTGAAATGAATGCATCAACGCAAAAACACAGAAACTCTAACCCATTAAAAAAACGAAAGAATTACACCGAATTATTTACCGTTAGTTGGCACAGACTCTAACCTACTGAGATCTACAGACAAGTACTAGAAGTGGAGGTGTGCACCAACCAGTGAATGGAGACAGAACAAGGTGTGCTAGCAACCACTGGGAACTACTCTACCTCCTTCTTGGCCCTCTCGGCCTTCCGCACCTCAAGGCGGAGAGCTTCGACCTTTTGACTGTGGTTCTCAGTCTCCTCCTCCTTATCTCGCAACTGACGGGACAGGCGCTGCTTCGCTGACCTGCATTGACAGTTAAAACATAAATAGGAGTTAATATCTCCAAAAAAAAGAAAAGTAAAAAGAAACGTTGATGTACAGTTAAATAGGAGTTAATATCTCCAAAAAAAGAAAAGAAAAGTAAACCGTTAATGAGAAACGTTGATGTACAGCGCACGCTTTAGTTTTACCTGAGTTCTGTGAGTCTCTCATTGAGCTCAGAAAACTCATGCATGGCCAGTTTCCTCTGACTGTGAGCGTCCTTCAGCTCTTTAGACTGAGATTTTAGTCTCTCGTTGGTGTCCGCGAGGTCCTGATCAACACAGAGACAGTGGAGATAAAAATGTTAAAAATGATGATGTGATTTTAAATTGATCTGATTTTAAATCCATTAATGTATAGATTGATTAAAGAGAGTAAATTTTTTTTTCTACCTTATGGAGATCGTCTCTTTCCTGTGTTATGCTCTTCATTTGTTTCTCCAGAGATTTCACGTACTTGGAGGAGTCCTCCAGGTCTCTGCGGGCTAATGTCACATCCTCCAGCTGCTTCTCCAGTTGCCCGGAGTCTGACCAAAAAAAACAAAAAAAAAAAGCATTTTCATTTTGATGATTTTGCAAAAGTTCAATTTTTTCATGTTTATTACACAATATAATACCGTTAGCATCTACAACATGTTCTTTAACTAAGTGAAAAAAAGAAAAATTCTGACCAGCAATCTGCTTCTTGAGGATGTCGATCTCACTCTTCAGACTCCTGATCTCCACCTCTTTGTTAGAGCTGACGGGACCCTCGCCGGTGGGATGCTGCAGTGCCTGTACCGCCTGTGTCGACTCTGTTAGCAGGCACATTTTTTTTCACGTTTTTATTATAATTTTTCATTTTGAAACTATCATAAGGCCGCGTACAAGATTACGGATTTCTCAGAAGCGGTTCCCAGACTCTTCGGCCTCACCTTGCAGTTTGCGACTCAGCTCTAGTTTCTCCTGCTCCAGACGACGGATTCTCCTCTCATAGGCCTCGGTGGCCAGGCTGTCCTCCAGGCTGCGCTGGACTTCTGAGTCCAACTGGTCTTGGCCCGTCTTGCCCGGCTCGGCCGCAAGCTGTCGCAGGCAACCTCGGTCAGACAGTGTACTGCAAGGGGCGAAAAAAAAAAAGAAAAAACAGATTATTTTGGATTATTATAATTGAGAATAAAGGGAACTAACTGTAAATGGCTGAAGAAATGTATAATTTAGAAGGAAAGGTCTGAAAAGAGTAGGACATTTTTCACCGTTGACTGATAACATGACTCTTTTGTAAAGTGAGCCCGCAAGAAGAATAGGAAATGCCAGAGGAACGGCAAGGGGAGGGGAAACAGGAAGCAGAAGTGGATGACAGAGTGATGGTTCTGGAGATTGAAGGATGTTGAATTGTGGAAGACGGGGGTGGAGGCAGGTTGGAGAAGCAGTGACAAAGACATATAAGGCAGATGTGGGACAAAAGAGACAGAGAGGGAGAAAGAGCGGGGGATACAGAAGGAAAGGACAAACTGAGTGGGGAGGTCGACACTACTGAGCCTTAAAGAGAAAAGAAAAAGCAGCTTGTTACTTTAACACCACTGTAGCGTGGAGACTTCCCAGAAATAAGGTGGTGAATATTTTAGCACAATATCCCACTAACATCTGAAATATTAACAAACTGCATAAGTATATATACATACATATATATACACATATATATACATATATGTATATATACATATATATAAACATATATACATACACATATATATACATACACATATATACACACATATACATGTATATGTATATATATATATATCTACATATATATACATATGTATATATGTATACATATATATATATATATATATGTTAATATAGAACATTTACTTACCATTTACTCGTGTAGGTGAAGCCCAGAAAGGGCAGATGGTGTCCAGAGAAGGCAGTGTGAGAGGGAGGGGGCATTGTTTCCTGAAGAAAAAAAAAAAGACAAAAACAGAAAGAAATATAAATTGATTTCATTTACATTGAATGGATGAGATGACAAACTTCTCTTTATCCTTTAGCAAAAGCCTCTTACCGAGTTCTTCAGACAATCGTCATCTACATCAAAGTTGGAGGTATCTGTAGGACTGCTGACTTCTGGGATGTACGGGGCCTCGCACATGCGGATGTTGTCCCAGTCAATGCCTGGAAACGATAGAGGTAAAAGGTTATTTCTGTATTGTGTTGGTATTGAGACTGTAAATAAAAAATATTCATCAGTGAGATTTACTTTAGCTAAAAACTCGATCAAACTCAGTAAGAGCATCACAATGTTCCACAGAAAATTCCAAAACAGAAACATGCCCTGAAAAACCGTACCACTGAAAAACGGATGCTGCTTGAAGTCTTCGATCCCATTCTGACCCAGCCGGTGTTCGCGACTGCAAATAAGCCGGCGAATCAGATCCTTCGCGTCTTCTGACACGTCTGATATCTGCTGCGGGAACTGGAATCTCTCCTATGTAAACAAAATCCGTACAGGATTAATTTTTTTCTTTTTTTTTTTTTATTCATGCCCATTTCATTTGCAAACGCCGCCTCTCCTTGAGCATTCACCTTGTGGTTCATGATTTTCCCATAGGTTTCGACCAGGGACTCTGCATAGAAGGGAGTTTCACCGTACAGCATTTCATACATGCAGACACCCAGGGACCACCAGTCGCACTCAGGCCCATACTTTCCTTTCCCATCCTCCATGGCCTGGAGGATTTCAGGAGAGATGTAGTCTGGGGTGCCCACCGCCACGGAGGACTGGACCTGAAGGGAGTACCGAAAAAGTCAGAAACCGATGTCGCATGTCAGCGGGGAAGAAAAAAAAAAAAAACACACTACAATTTAGGAATTAACATTATAGAGTGGAGTTGAGGACATCGCATTTCCTTTCGAGGACATGCCCAAGTAATTCGCTCCTATGCGACACAAAGCTTAAAATCCAAACATTTTACAATAATTAAGACCATGTTCGAGTAGACTCAGCCTTTTTGCGGTAATAAAACTCTTTGCTTTATTAAAAGCAGGGTTCACTCAGGGACTCTAGGATCACATATTTCATCCTTTTAGGATTCTTTGAATAAAAAAAAAAAAAAAGTTGTTTTTTTTTTCTAGAAGAATTGCCTGAATCATAAACTGCAGACAAAGCCAAACAGCTGAACCACACACACTACTCCTGGGAGACCCCTGGGGGTTGACGAGGAGGTCAGTAAAGCTCTGGTATGTTTGCTTTGGACCAGAGGACGAGGCATCAGCAGCACTGTGGTAAAAAAAAAAACAAAAAAAAAAACGTACCGTCCCGTCCTCCATGAGTTTGAGACAGGAGCCGAAGTCGGCCAGACGGATGTGGCCGTTCATATCCAACAAAATGTTGTCAGGTTTAATGTCCCTAAAAGGAGGCAGGAAGAAAGAAAGAAAGAAAAAATGATGAGAGACGTGAGACATATTTTATATAAAAAAGGATAACTCCTAAGAAGAAGAGAAAAAAAGTTTAGTAAAACGTTCAAAAAAAACGCACGTGCCAGATGTCGTTTTTACAGTGAGATTCAGCATCAGTTATCAGTGACGTGAATTACATAACACAGATATAGATTTAATTCACATGACATTTATCAACAGAACCCTAAATCACCCCCCCCCTAAAAAAAAAAATTCGAAAATCAACTCTACTAGCAGAGTGCGTGTATGCAGTTTCAAAGATTCCACGCAATTCGAAAATCAACTCTACTAGCAGAGTTTCAAAGATTCCACGCGCACACAAAAATGCCCTGTTTGACGAAATATGCAGTGCACAAACACACTCCCACACACAAACCACTTTCCCAAAAAAAAAAAAAAAAAAAAAAAAAAAAAGCAGAGAGCTTGTCCTAAACAGACACACTCCCCAGTTCCGTACAAAATGTGTTTGGGAACAGAGGCCGTCTGGGTGAGAGAGGAGGTGGGCGAGGACGAGGGCTTATTGACAACACATTCCTGTACAGATGTGGTCAAAGTGGCCACTGTGGACTTTTCTTTTCAACCTGAATGTGTTCTACATGATTGCTGCTGGTAAGTTGTTTCTCATGTAGACAAAGATCACGCCTTTGTTCCAGCGTTCGCCTTCTGTTAGCTACTACCAACTGTAACGTTTTCCAAATCCCAAAACCGACAATCGCTTCAGGACCAGTAAACATTTTTTGACAGGGAGAACAAAAATATTTGAGACACAGAAAAAAACGCTTAACTTGCATTGATTCCGTTTTGTTTATTTTATTTTGAAAAATTACCACATTCTCTCCGCTGCTTCTGTCTTTGACTCACACGTGATTAGATGTCAAGACGCTTGTCTCGGTCACATGTCTTACCTACATCCCGCTACCTTCACCTCAGGCCGGTGACACATATTATATTACTTTTAAATTGGAACCCTTAAGCTAGCAAACAACCAAAAAAACAAGTGTCTGTAAGAACGGGAAAAGTGCAGGAGATCGAGTGTCGCTAACAGGTTGTTCACGCTGACCTGCTGTTGCTATTGTTTTACACGGCGCTCCGACTCTGCCTGGTTTAAGCCGCTCGGTAATGACCGGCTCCCACCTGGCGCTTTTTCATTTCGGTGACCTTTGAACTCCAACGGAAACAAATTAAATTAGCCTTTTTGTCACTTGACTGAATTGGCACGACACAGTGAGACCCACCACCCAGGCTAAATATAGCCTCGCCATTTCTGTGTTTTTCCTCCTGAGGGCGGACCACATCGACCTTGATGACTCTTGTCATCCCGCGTGTTTACACTCAAAAACGACACTTTCAGCGCTTTCGCTTCCCAACGAGTGTGTGCCGTAAGAGCGCCCCCTAACGTCTCACATCAAAACCAGACACAAACTAAATCAGTTCTGTTCTGACTCCCACTACTTTAAGAAGCATTCCAGTTACTGATAAATTACGCAGCTCGAAGCAGACAACAACTAATGTGATGATATTGTTCATTGGAAAAACAATATTTTTATTTTATTTTTGCAGCGAAGCCTCGTAAAATTCCAACATTCAACTCCAAACCTATGCTCATTTTTTTTTATTCGATTTTATTTTGGTTCCAAATCACTCAAGTCACTAAGGAAACAGTCTGGAGGCATTTTGGCTAATTCTTTTATATTGGCTTTGTAGTCGCCTTTGATGCATCTGTCTTCGGCTCAAGATTTGCACAAAGCCAGATGTGAAGCCTGTGTCGTTTACCAGTAGTCTTAAAAGTCCTATCTTGTGAACGCTAGCGCGGTGCCAGGCCATTTCTCTGATACAGAGAAACCACCAAGATCAATCATCACAAGTTTGCCATCATTCTTCTCCCAAACCCCTGCTCGTCTCATGAGATTCTACGGTGTTTTTTTTTGGTTTTAAAAAAAGACCTGACTGTTTACTGATGAGTTCCAGGTTGAACATCATCTTCAAAGGCGGATACTGTATATTGTACTATAAATGGAAACCACAAACCCATGTGCACGCATTTTCACAACTGATGTGGAGAAGTAATGAAAAATTGGCAGACGCTGAAACGCACATAAACAGGTGACGTGAAATACACTCAAGGTCAGGCTATATAAAAGATCGTAAAATGTATTTTTTCTGGGGGGGATTAAGACTCCATAGATAGCGATTTAATGGCTGTAAAGGGAAATTTCTCTTGGACGACGAACTAATACGTAGCTTCACCTTTGCTATAACAACCAAAAAAAAAAACAAAAAAAACCTATGCATGAAGTTAGACTGGGCGCAACGGATGGAAAAAATGGTGACGTTTCGATCGAAGTTAGCCTGCGGGAAAAGCACAGCTAACGTAGAAGTCTGAAATCCCTGGGCAAGAGAATGTAACATTTCAGTTAGCATGTACGAGGCCATTTATCAGTTAATAACACAATACTACAAACAAGTACAATTTTCTCATGTACACAACACTGAATGGGGGTCACCGCTAGGCTAAGGCTACTAGTAAAGCTAAATGGGCTACTGTGTCATAGGGCTCTTGTGGTCTTAAGGAGAAGCAGTAATCTCTTCTAAGGCCACTGCATCCATCTGTAAAGGCCATCTGGATACCCCCTGCCCCAGCCCCCTCCACCTATCACCAACATGCACACACTCCCGCAGTGCTGAGATGCTAAACTGAGCGTCAAAAAACGTGGCTAACAACGTTAGTGCTCAATAAAAGTAGAATGAATGAGAGAAGGGAAAGACACAAGCAGACGGAGGAAAAACTGAATGGGAGACGCTCGTTTAGATCACCGGACTGTGAAGGGACACATGGCCGTGATCAATAGAACGCACAAAGGCCTCAGAGCGCACAACAGTAGAACACACTCGGCGGCTCTACGGTAGAAAGACGTCACTCGCCGGAGACGCTAACAGCCTCACGCTCAAATGTCACTGTGGTCACTCTAGACATTTGAGGGCTTGTTCTCGCAACAAATCCCTTCTCTTGCTAGCCACACACAGACAACTGATTCTGTGCACCCCCCCCCCTCACCATCAGACTTCCCTTATCTAGCACTGACGCACGCGCACACACACCCCCATGGCAGGCAGATGTGGTGCTAGGCAGCACAAAGCCTATTGAAACATTTGTCAGACCCCTCCGGGAGGCCACGCAGCCCACTGACCACTGAATAAATGGACACACTCGGCCATATACACACACACAAACGCACAGGGAGTCCCTGTGCGTCTGACTCTAACACATTTAGTCTCCCGCGGGACCCAGAGAAGGGGGGACAGAAGGTTGACCTTAGTGCTCTTTGCTCATCGTTCCTTTCATCTGGGCTCTTTTTAACTTCATCAGTGTCAAGAGGACCTGGATATTAATTTCTTAAAGAGGGCGAAAATGAGCGGAGGTCAACGGCATCGCAACACAAAGACAAGTAGGAGAGGAGAGGATACCGAACTATCACAAAAAAATGTAATCGTGCTTTTTGTCATTCACTTAAGTGATATTAAAAAAATAAAAGAAAACTCAAGATTTGATGTCACACCCTGGGAACAAACGATTCTCCGGACTGTTTTCACACGTTAAAAAAAAACAAACTAAAACGCCAGAAAACGTTTAGGTTTAACATTTAGTTTAAGCGACCCAAAACCGTTTTTTTTTCCAGAAAATGCATTCATTCACCATGTTGTTGTTTGGAGTCTCTGTGCATGCCAGTGCCAATGCATTCTGTTGTGTCTGTGCTTACTGCATCACTCGTGTGTAATTATCCCCGGCTTAACCACATCAGTTTTCCACGGCATGTGAAACATGGTTTCACTTCCAGAGATACATTTTAGCTGGCAATAAACATGTCCCTTTGCATCTCAAAAAAAAAGGAGAAACGCGCTATAAAAAAAAAAAGATCTGTCGAGCAGCCAAAAATTAAGCCACCACAATGAAACAATGCCAGGCCTAATAAGAAGCCTGACAGACACAAGCTGCCAGAAGCAATGTCTCGAGACTGTTTATACAAGTTAGCATTATACGAGTTAGCAAAACAAAAAAAAAAAACTCAATAACAATACAACATTCCATGTTATTTGATTTGGGGAAATTACTCACAAAAAAAAAAATCATACAACATTCCATGTTATTTGATTACGCGAAATTACTCGTATTGTTGACAATAAAAGTGATCAAAATTTTTTCAATCAGTCATATTTTCCGCGCTTAAATATTTGTTAGCCGTTAGTAGAATTATTAATAGGCTTTTGACGACGACCGCATACATGGTAAACAGAAAAAAAAGAAAGATTAATGAGCATTAAGCTTTTCAATTTCACAGTCAACACTGTTGCTTCCCTCAGATGTAGAAATAGAAAACACACACACACACACACACACTATCGCCAAGACAAACACACACCCTTATTACACGTGCACCCAAACACACAATCATCAGACAGACGAGTCAGCGGGACACACCCTCCTCAGGGGACCTGTCTGTCCGACTCCACCCTCTACAAAGCCAGCACTCAAATATCCCACAGTTCAGTGAGAGCGAGGAGGTGTGAGGAGGGAGGGAGAGGGGGGGGGCGGGATGTTCCAATTGGGGGGA